TGGAAAATGAGCTTAAAATTATGAGGCATAACTTTTAGGGGAAAATTAAAGTAAAATACATGATAAGGATAAAATCAGGTTTTATGACTGAAACCACTTTAAAGGCACTTTAGGAGCAGTCGTGTAAATAATACTAGTATCACATGCAAACTTGTAGCATCTTTAGAAAATCCTTTGATTTCGGTTCCTTTCAGATTTTGAGGCATTTAAAATTTAAGTAGGTACATTTAAACTTAACATGTGTTACTAAAAATATTTTATTTTTCCTTTTTTTAAGATTTTATTTATCTGACAGAAAGAGAGAGAGAAAGCACAAGCAGGGGGAGCAGCAGAGGGAGAAGGAGATTCCCCGCGGAGTGGGGAGCCCGACGTGGGGCTCGATCCCAGGACCCTGAGATCATGACCTGAGCCAAAGGCAGATGTTTAACTGACTGAGCCACCCAGGCGCCCCTAAAAATATTTTAAATAATGTTAAATACTTTTCTGTATAAAGCTTGAGACAGTATATTATTGTGCCTAAGGGCCTGGACTGTCTGAGTTCAAAAGACTGGTGCCATGACTTACCAGCAGTATGATCTTGGGCAAGTTATTTAATCTCTAGTCCTTATATTTTTTCAATTTAAAAATAGAGGTACAGGGGCGCCTGGGTGGCTCAGTCTTTAAGCATCTGCTTTTGGCTCAGGTCATGATCCCAGGGTCCTGGGATCGAGCCTCGCATCGGGCTCCCTGCTCTGCGGGAAGCCTGCTTCTCCCTCTCCCACTCCCCCTGCTTGTGTTCCCTCTCTCGCTGTGTCTCTGTCAAATAAATAAAATATTAAAAAAAAAAAAAGAACAGTACCTGGTAGAGGGTTAACACTGCATATGTGTTGGTTGTTTTTATTATTTAATGAGATGACAAGTTAAGGGAAAATAATTTATTTCTTAAAAACTCAGCAGGTTTAACGAGGGTAGATATAATTCAGGGATTTTAGTAATATAGGCTGTCCCTTTAATTAACATTTGTTAGCAAATTTTACATTATGTATTTCTCAGAGCAAGTTTCCAACCAAATTTTTTAAAAAAGCTTTATTGGAGTATAATAGACACAAAATCTCACATATTGAAATGTACAATTTAAACAGGTGCCTGGTAGCTCACCGTGATCCTATAGTGGTTAGTACTCTGCGCTGTGAAATGTACAACTTGAAAAGTCCTGACATGTATACACAAATCATATTCTCACTACAATCAAGATAGAGAACACATCCACTACCCACAAGTTTCTGTGTACCAGCTTGTACTCCCTTGTTTCTCTTCCCTAGGCAACCACTGATCTGCCTTCTGTCACTATACATTAGTAAACTATTAGGTTTCGTTAGGAGATGGTGATATGTATTAAACATTTAACTCAAGGTGGAGAAAAAAAATCAAAGAACATAGAAAGGTAGTTAACAACAAAAAAAGTTTTTAAAGATGAAGGTAATTTAGAGTATTTCTGTGAAGAAATTAAAAAAATAAAAGTTACCAATGAAAGCCTGATGGGGTGCCTGGGTGGCTGTCAGTTAAGCGTCCTACTTTTGATTTCAGCTCGTCATGATCTCAGGATAGTGAGGCTGAGCCCTGCATCAGGCTCCACGCTGGGTGTGGAGTCTGCTTAATTCTCTCCCTCTCCCTTTGCCCCTCCCCACCCCCACCACACCCACTCACACTGTCTCTAAAAAAAATAAAAACAAAAGCTTGAGAAAATTTTATTTCATTGATAAAGAGTGGACTTGTGATACTATCTAGAAACTGATGGTGTTACTGACATCTTTATGTGGCTTTCGTATTTTTACATTTCATTAACTTAATCAACAAGGGTTGATTTGTTGTTTATCTGCGTCAGGGACTGGAAGGGGGTACACCTGTGGCAGGGAGATCATGGAGACCTGTGCTATCCAATACATTAGCCACTAGCCACATATGGTTACTTACTTAGTAATTTTTAAAGATTTTAAGTAATCTCTACACCCAATGTGGGGCTTGAACTCACAACCCTGAGATTGACAGTTGCATGCTCCACTGAGCCAGCCAGGCACCCCAACATATGGCTATTTAAACTTAAAAATTTAGTTCAGTTGCACTAGCCACATTTTAAAGTTTCCAGAGTCCTACACATGGCTAGTGAACACTGTATTAGACAGTGCAGATACAGAAATTTCTATCACTGTTGAAAGTTCTATTGGACAGAGTTGATTAAGAAGATTCTTGAGGTACATTATCTACAATGGAGGTGGGGAAGGTCTAAACTGAAGCAATGGCAATCAAATGGAGAAGAGGGATCTCTAATGATACTTAATGTACTGCAGAGTGAAGACAGGTGGATTCATTTAGGATGTCTTCTATGTTTCTCCCTAGGTAAATGGGGGGATGGTAGAACCATTCACCAACAAAATACAGAAGCAGGATTTGGGAAAGGGGATAAAATAATATTTGTACTCAGTGAGAGGTAACCCTTGCAAAGGCCAGTGGTCTTAGAAGCTGCTGGATCTCAGAATGTGATCTGTGGGGAGTCTGGGTGGAGACAGTGTTCCAACAAAGGAATAGTAGCCATGGGTAGGGGCCACAAAGGGTCTCAGAGAAAGCAGGCTGCATGATGCATGAGATGGTCATAGACTAGCATCAGAGCCTGAGAAGTCCTGGCATGCAGGGTAAGGTTTTCAAACATGAGTGGGTCATGAAATCAGTGACATAGGTCTCCACCAGCCTTAAAAAAAAGAAAAAAAAGTATAGAAAATATTAATATGCTTTGCATGTAATTTGGGTAAAGATCTTTTCCTGAAACTTTTGTTATATTTACACAAATATATGTATATTGGGTTATAAGGTAAAACATATTTTTGGGTTGTGGTCCAATTAGTTTGAATGTCACTGATTTATAAAATGAATACCACAGACTAAGCTACATGCAAACTGGAACAAGTGTCTTTATCCTCATTACCTAAAATCCTCGCACATAGTAGACACTCAGTGAAGACATAGTATGTGAAGGAATAAATCAACAGGCCAGAGAAGTAGGGGAAACCCAGGACAAGGGTGACTCAGAAGCTAAAGAAGGATGAGAAAGAATAAATAACCCAGTATCAGATGTCAGTGATTTGGTGATATTCAGAGCATGGATGATGACCTTATGTCTGCAATTTCTGTGGACAGAAGCAGAAGCTAGACTGCAGAAGTAAATGGGAGAGGAGTGGAGACAAATGACAATGGAGAGACATTTGTTTTGTATTGAAGATGTGAAAACTGAATATGTATCTGGAAGAGATACAGGAAAGGCATGCTCTAGAACTAATGATTCCATTCATTAGCCATATGTGGTTGCTATTTAAATTATAATTATTTTTTTTTAAATTTTCTATCATGAGTTGAAATGTCACTTTTTTTTTTTTAAGTTTATTTATTTATTTGTCAGAGAGAGAGCACAAGCAGGGAGAACAGCAGGCAGAGCAGCAGAGGGAACAGACTTCCTGCTGAGCAGGGAGCCCGATGCAGGACTCAATCCCAGGACCCTGGGATCATGACCTGAGCCGAAGGCAGACACTTAGGCGACGGAGCCACCCGGGTCTCCCTAGAATTAAATTTTAAAATGCTGTTCCTTAATAATACTAGCTCCATTTCAAGTGCTCTATGGCCACATGTGGCTAGTGGCTACCATACTGTTCAGAGCTGACACAGAACCTTTCTATCATTGCAGTAAGTCTATTGGAGTGCTGTTCTAGAAGAAAGTTTTAATTCATCATGTCTGTGCTGGCCTCCATAAAACAAGCCAGTGTACACTGCTCCCAAACTCCTCCTACTTGAAACATTATCCAAATCCAGCAAAAAAAAAAAAAAAGAAAAAAGAAAAAAAACTGCTGGAGAAATTACAATCAATAAATGATACTACATTTGGTCTGAGAGTTAGCCCTAGGAAATGTCGGTGGAGGTATCAGGGAGGCTAGTGAACTTCAGGATGTGATCTAAGAGTAGTCTGGGAAGTACATGTATTCATGACGTCATCCCACCCAATGCAACAAAAATATGTGACAACTAGAAGCTCACCATTGCTAATGACTGAATGCACAGGGAAAAGGACCTGTAGGACAAGGTATAAGGATGACAGATACTGCAGTAGTGCTGGATAGAAAAGGTTGGGAGAATTCAGGCTAGGTTAGATAGAAGATGGTGGGTAAAGTGGGAGTCATTACAGTGAAATTTCAGTTTTAAAAAATTAAAGTTACTAGCAGAGAACGTGTTTCTGATTTCTGTATGTAATTTTCCTGGCTACCTTAATAACAAAAAGGATTATGACAGAGGACAGGTATTATTATCCACAAGATCCGTCTACTTAGACGCTTTAACTGTTTCCCCCTTACTCACTGGAGAAGTTACTTCTAGAATTAAATAAAATTTCCAACTTCGTGGAAAAAAATCTTTTAAATCATTTATTTGTTTTTTAAAAGATTTTATCTATTTATATGAGAGAGAGACACGATAGAGATAATGAGAGAGAGAGCAGGAAAGGGAGGAGGTAGAAGCAGACTCCCCGCCGAGCACGGAGCCCAAGGTGGGGCTCAATCCCAGGACCCTGAGATCATGACCTGAGCCAAAGACAGACGCTTAACCGACTGAGCCACCCAGGCGCCCCTTAATCACTTCTAAATGAATATATTTGGCTCTACTTCTTACATTTTTTTTTGGATGTGGTTATTCATGCGGTGAGGGAATGGAGGAAGAAAATCCAAAGGAGAGACTACTCAGTCCATTTGCCTTCTCCACCTCAGGGCAGGTCTTGAGGTGGCTCTTGAGTAAGTCAGGTCTTTTGCAAAAATTAAACACGAATTCTCAAGTCTTCCCCTTAAGCCTCGCCTGGCAATACCAAGAAGTGACCACCGGGTCGTTCAGGTCAGGTCCTTTCATTGATATACAAAGCAATACAACAAACTCCTCGCGGGCTTTTAAGCACCGAGTTCAGGTGGCCTAGGGTTCTCACTGGTGTTCACCGGGGAGGAAACGACGTTCTGCGGGAGAGGGCCCGGCTCGGCGAGGGGCCGGCGAGGCGGCGCGCCGGGATCACCGTGACGGCCGGAGGCCCCGAGGAGACACATTTACCTATCAGAGCTGTCCGTTTAGCCATCGTTACTAAGGGCACCGCCGACTTCCCGGAGCGAGCAGTTACTGCTGGAAAACGACCTCACGCCCTAACTACGGAGTAGGCTTGTCTCAAGACTCGAGCCGCCGCACCGCCTCCGCGTCGAAGCCAACAGGCTCACTTCCGGCGCCGCCTCTGACCTCCCGGGCGCGGCCGGAAGTGGCTTTCCGGCAGCCCGCGCGCAGCGAGTAAAGCAAGATGTCAGCGCTCTCTCCGAAGCGATTGTCCAATCTTAGTTTTATTTCTACCACTTCCCTATCCACCAGGGAATCTCGACTTCCATCACCGATCCAATTTTTCTCAGCATAACATGCTCATGTTTCAATTTCATTCAGCTGGGGTGGAAGATGGGCTGGAGGCAAGGTACAGCGACGACCATGAGCGCCGTAGGGCACCATTTTGTACGGAAATCAAAGGCCGGGCGGGGACGAGGTACTCGGGAACCCAGACGTGGCCCCGCGGACCAGAGAGCGTGTGGGGAGGGGCGAAAGGGCAGGAGGGCGGTGTTAGCGGATGATGTACTTCCGCTTCCTCTCGGCTGAGTCGCATTTGGTTGGACGGGCTTGTTGCGGGGAGGGAGGGGGAAGATTGTTTGCAGAGGAGGAGCTCAGTGTACGGGAAGGTAAACTGAGGTAAGGTTCTGTGTCGCGGGGGGCTGAAGGCTTTGCGCCCGGCTGTGTAGGAAGACTGGGGGCAGGGTCTTCGGGATTGAGGGTGAGTGTGGGGTTGGAGAAGGGAGGCTCAGAGTGTCCGCAGGTTTGGAGAGAGGTGGGGCGGGGCTGGGGGGTTACTAGGTGAATTGCAAAGCTGGGGTCGGGGGTGGGGTGGAGTAGGGGCGGGCGGAAGGAAAGGGAGGGTGGAGAGAGGGTCGGAGCTTAGAGGCAAGTCTGGAAGCCCTGGTCGGGGAGGGGCTGGGACGCGGGAGGTGTAGGACCTCTAGTCCTTGAGGGCTGAGGAAAGTAGTTGCGGTGGGGTCTGCTCAGAATATGGGAGTCTGGAAGGATGAGAGTGGAGTTCTTGAGAGGCTGAAGGTTTGGAAGGGTCTGGTGGCCCAAGTATGTTCTGATGCTGCCCATGTACTTGGCCTTTGTTTCCCGTGCAGCTCCCCAGAGACTGTCATCCCGCAGCCTCGGTTCGGGCCCAGCCTTCTCTCTCCAGCTGCCACCACAGCCTGGAGGCGCCTGCCTCCGCCCTCCCGAATGGTGCTACTCCTCGCAGGCCTCGGCCCAGGATCCAAACCCCCTTTGCCCCCCGCCTCGGAGCGGTTGCTCCGGGTCGCTCCTGGTGGACTCCCCGTGACGGGCAGGGAAGAACTTTTCCACAGACAAGGCTGTAGCTCCAGGAGCCCCACCGACGACTTGAATCTTGGCCTCTAATCCAGTGTGAGGTTATTCCTCTGTCCCCTTTTCCACCCACCGAGAAGAGAAACCCTTCTTCTTGCTACCCAGAGCCCAGGAAGCCCCAAGCTGGGGCCCTGGTCCCAGCATGTCAGTCCTCTCTTGTGCGTAGGGCTGTGCCCTCTCTCCATTAGCATGGCTGAATTCAGGCCGGTTCCGGGGGGGCGGGAGACCCCGCAGGGGGAGCTGCGGTCTGAGGTGGTAGAGGATGAAGTTCCTCGGAGTCCAGTCGCAGAGGAGCCCGGGAGAGGCGGGAGCAACAACAGTGAGCCCAAATTGTCTCCAAGAGAAGAGGAAGAACTGGATCCTCGAATACAGGTGAGAAGACTAAGGGGAAGGGAGAGCCCCGGAGCCCAGATTCCAGTTTTCCTGAAGAGCTGTCAGATAAATGAAGGGACTGGGGCAGGAAAGGAAAGCAAACTTGTCAGCAAATCATGGCAGTATGGTGGGACAAGTGCTAAAAGAGCTGCGTGTGATGCCAGAGCAGAGAAAGGCCTGCCTGAGTGCCTGGGCTGTGTTCCTAAAGGCTTAGCTGACAGTGAAGCAACAAATTGGCATCAGATGCAGGGCCTCATTTAGTTCAGTGGGGAGTACAACTGTTGTACTCCTTTCTGAATAAGTAAAGGGGCTGTTGGCTTAGAGATGCGATGTGAGAGGGGGTGATTTTGAGATTGGGAGGCAGTTTCAAATCCCCCCCCCCCGCCCCCGGCATCAGTGCCTCCCCGGGATGTTCACATCTGTAAAGGGTGAGACGTTTCATGTCTTATAATGGCTCAACAGATGGAGGCCTACAAGGAAATCCAATGTGTTTCGGGAGTTGTATCCACCATGGTCAGCTCTTAATAATACAAATTCTCAGTTCTGAGGATGCTGGTTGTAGCCAATGAATGGAAAAGCTGATTTATTACCTTGGAGTATTTACCGGCTAGTAGTTGTTAGGATGGGCAAATCTTTGAAGAAGACCTCAGAGCGCTGAGTGAAGAGGACAGACACCATTGCGGATGAGATGCATGGTCGGCCAAGGTGGGATTGTAGTGTTTCCGGGCAATGACTGGGAAAGCTACTTGGGCAGGTGAGGGCAGGAAGTTCTTGTGTGTTGGGGGCTAAGTCTGCTGTAAGGTCTGGCAGCATCTCAGATTTTGATGTGTAGGTGATTCACACCCCTTAGGTGAGCAAGAGCATCTCAGGGCTTGCATTCCTGGGCTTCTCTGCCAACAGACATTTATTAGATTGTTTCTGAGTCAAGAGGAAATCAAATCTGATCCTAGTATCCTCCTGCCCTCTTGGTGGGGGTTCCGTGGACATTGGGGCAGGGAAACTGTGTCCATGCTTTCGTTGGAGCTGTGGTGAGCCATTCGTTTACTGGTGTGTCAATAATTTATTTCTGCCACGTCTCATGGGTGTTGCATTGAAAACAGCTCAGTTTCTCCTGCTAATTCTACAGATTTGTCGTCTACCGAGGAAGTAAGTTGTAGTGAAAACCACGTTGGCTGAGACTGAAGCAACCTCCAGCCTCATGATTTGTGATTTTCATGCAAGTTATGTAATCTCTGAGCCTCACCTTCATCTATACAGTGAGGGATTGGTCCGGCTGGTATGCACAACTCATCGCTCTGCTCTGACATAGTCCTGATTCTTTTCTGTCACAACTCTTCTGTTTATCTCTTGGTGAAAGTTTGTAGGTAGTACTTTGGGAAAAAGACCCCTATCTGTTCTGCGGGGAGGAGGGCTGTGTGATGCACTTCATACATCTCCTTCCAACGTTCCTTGCTCTGCTCCAGGGGAAAATCTACTGTGGGTGGATTCTTTGCTCAGTCTCTCCGGCTCCTGTGTGTTTTTCCAGTGCCCACACAGGCAAAGGCTGCAGTGTGAAGAATCACTCTTATGTTGTGCTGTTCAATAGAGTAGCTGTTAGCCGCATGTGGCTATTTAGGTAAGATCAATTAAAATTAAATAAAAAACAAAAATGCAGTTCTCCAGCTGCTGTTGGTATTGCAGAAGTAGAACATTTCCACCATCAGAGTTCTATAGGATGAGCTCTGTGAGGGTCGGAGAGTACCAAGCAGGCATAAGATTTGCCTTGAATCCAGGGACCTTGCAGTGTTACTGGAGCGAGAGGGACAGGCAGACCATAGTCTCTATTGCTAAACTGGGAGGCACACGGTGGAATGGTATGGGTTATGTAGGGAGGGAAAGTCTCGTAGAGGCCTCCACCTTTGATGGCATCCTCGTGGCTGGGCCAGTGCTCTGTCCTTAGCAGGGCCTTTGCATCTTCTTGCCATGTGGGAGAGGTAGCCCGATGTGAGGGGCACCTCTCACAGAGAAAGCTGGTAGCATTCAACCCTTCTGTGATTGGAAGAGATTGGGGCATGTGTCATCTGAGCTCCCTCTTGGTGTTGACAGTGCACAAGACCATGTTATTCTGGTAACTGTGTTTCAGTGCTTTAAATGGATTGTCAGTGTATTTTGTGGGTCTCCACCAACAGATCTGTCATAATCCACCAGCGGGTTTTAAAAACACCCATTCCTGAGCCATACCCAGACATGTGAATTCTGGTCTCGGTGGGGTGAGAAGTGGATCTAACATGCACCCTACACGTCTCTACTGAGCCAGGGATATCCCACAGGCTAGGGACTCTGTTCACATATTTTCTGAAACTCCCAGAAATGGTTGCTCTTAAGGCAAGGCTCTTACTCATGTGGGAAGTAGGGTTTCTCGGCAGGCAGTTCGTGTCCCTGTTGTCTGGTGGGATGCCTCTGGAAGTTGGAGGGAAGCCAGCTGGAGGCCAGCTCTAGGCCTCCCTGGAGTGTGCTGTCCCCCCAGGGAAGGCCACTGGCTTAGTCTCCATGTCTTGACCTCAGCATAGTTCTCTGAGGCCTTCAGGCTGGTCCTCAGCTTTCTGAGAGGGTCCCAGTGGACTGGAAAAATGAAGGAGAGTGGTGCTAGGATGCGTCTGCGTCTCTTCCCCTGTGACTTTCTCAGTTCCTTTTGTGATGGGCACATTCATCCTCAGGTGAGTGGATATAGTCACTTACCTCCGCCGTAGACTCTTCAGAGTGACTTTGCAATCTCTTCATCCTTATCCAAAGTATCAGGTTATCTCTCACAGGACAGTCATAGTTCCCTTATTTCTCAGTCCTTGGGCCATGCATCACCCTGGCCTTACATCACCATGGGCTTGTGTCTTTTAATGGCCTGCACAAGGTGGGCAGGAGCATCTGTCAGCTGAGCACCCATGCCTTTGACTCAGTGGCCTGGCATCTTTGGAATGCGCCTGGTGTGCCCCGGGAAGGTCACCCTCCCTGCTGGTTGCAGGCTCACTGATGGATGATGCGTGCTGACTCAGACTTCATTGTGTTCAAATTCTGTTTCAGCCGGGTGCCTGGAGTCCCTGGTGGAGCAGGCCAAATGGAATGTGTTGCCAACTTCCCAAAACAGAGCCCTGAGTGCTCGTTGGCTTCCCGCTCAGCCTTGCCCTGGGTCTTCCCCAGCCTGGTTGTCCACCCTGCCCTCTAGCCTGTTCTGTTCCCCAGTCTCCTGGTCCTGTTAGTAAGAGCTTTGCGACTGGGTGGTGGACCTCATCATCAAGAGATTTTAGTTGCTGGAAGTGCTGTGTGGGCGCAATTTCCCTTACAGAAAGATGTGCCCACTCCTGCCCTTTGCGGATAGCCGGAGCCCTTCACATCCTTTTTCCAGTGGGAATGATTTATGTAGAGCCATTCGTTCCTGTGATGACCTTGTTAGGATCCGGGAGCACTTTGGGCCGTGGAACTGAGTAGGATCCAGTCTTGGACCTTGGTTTGCCCGTGGGAGTGTTGCAGGATGGCCTTTACTGACCTCCTCTTCTCCCCTAGGATCAGTTTATTGCCTGCTGAGGCATGCATGTCTTTTTCCTACCAGGACTGTGGTTTTTCTAGGTGATTGTACTCCTGTCTTCTCGAGACATCCATCCAAGGATGTCCTTAGTCCTGGGATGGTGGTCACAATAGCAGGAAAGCAAGATTCCTCATCAGGTCCCAGATCCAGTTTCAATTCTGCCCCTGATTCCCCGCTTCATTGTTTCTTACCTAGCAAATTTGAACGAGCTGAGAAAGAATATTCTTGCAGGAGCTGCTGAAAGCACCGTTACCTCTTCTCCCAGATAGTCTGAAACCCGCTGTGGGCCTAATTAAGCCAGAGGAGACTAGGCTTACAGTGGGAGAGGTTGCCTCTCATCCTAACAGGAACTGCCTTTTTTTGAGGGCCCTTGGGGAGATTCCATCAACTGAAGGTGATGTCTTGGGTAGGAAGGCTCTGTGAAACCTAGAGCTCTGTGTGTCTGGTGGTGCTGGCTCTGCCCCTGGGCCTCTTCTGGGGTCCTTTGAGCCATGTCATCTGCTTATGGTTCCACAGTGTTTTGTTGTGATCTTATGGTCACTGGGTTGTGTGACTAATGTGCACCAACTTCTAGACCCACAGTGTCCAGTGTGGGAGCCACATGCCGTTGGTCAGGTTGAGATGTGCCCTAAGGGTTGAATGCATGAGGATTTCAAAGGCATATGTAAAAATGTTTTATAATTTATATTGTTAACATGTTAAAATTATAATATTTTGGATATTTGGGTTAAATGGAATGTATTGTTAACAATTTAACCTGTTTGCTTTTGCATTTTTTTAAATGGTTGCCAGAAAACTAAAAATTCAATGTGGGGCTCACATATTTTTGTTGGACTGTTCTGCTCTGGAAAATTTAGAGCCAAATTTATGGCCTTCTTTGAGGCAGGGTCTGCATTGTTATAGGCACTCATATTTCCGTATCCTTGTTCCTGGTTCTGTTATATGTTTCTTCTTTTCACTGTAATTTGGGCATACAACTTGGTTTCCTGGATTCTTATTTGCTGACTCAAACCTTTTAGGGCTTGAGGAAAGGCATAGAAATAAAAAGACTAAAAGAGGGTCATATACTGGATTGTTGGAAGGGCCAGATGAGGTGGTGTGTGGGAGCCAGTGATGGCAGCATCGCTCACTGCCAAGCGCAGGTCAGGTCTGGGTCATGGGCAGCAAGCAGGCACAGGCTGAATTCCACTATCCTGTCCAGGGGTTGCAAGGCTCCTGGGAGAGAATCCCATAGCTGAGTGTCAGGTATTTCACCGGGCATTGCTCCTCCTCAGGAGTGTCCTTGGCAGGGTGGACTCAGGACTTCTCCCTGAAGTTCTCCCTCACTGCCACAGAATCTGTTGTGTGAGGACCTGGGGTCTTGTCAGCCCACTGCCGAAGCAGGCCCAGAAGCCTCTTGAGCCATGTGATCTTCCTTAATCTTGACCTTAATTGTCTATCAGACCCTCATGAGTCTATGTCCTGCATTTGTCTGGTATCTGCCCTGTCCTCTCCCTCCTGGAATACTGCAGACAGCCTCCACTTTTGTCTCCCTGGCCCTTGTAAACTTCCCTCATATTGCTCAGATCTGCCTTCCTAAACCACAGACCAGGTGGTGCCACGCTCTGGGAAAAGCTGTGGTCTCCTTTCTCTGTGCCCCAGCCTTTCTGGCTTCTTACCTGACAAGCTGCGCACCTGCCCTCCTTCTGATTCTTGGCGCCTCTCCATCACTGGTGCTTTTCTATGTACCCATCAAGGCCCCGCCTAGGAGCAAGTACTCTGAGCATCCTGCCCAGGCAAGGTGACCCTGCTGCCCACACCATGCCTGCCTCTTACAGCTGCTCACACTGACGAGGGCCTGCTGCTTACTTACAGGGCCGTGAGGGGCCACCTCTTTGTTTCCTAAATTCTGGGGTCTCATGATGCTGAGCTGTGATGAGTATGTAGTAAACGTGTGATGACTGAGTAGCTAGGGGTAGTGTTCTCTGCTAGGAACAGAGACTATTAGCTCCGAGGAGACTCCTCCTGGCTGGAGTACAAAGAGAAGGTGGCACGGTCTGATGAAGAGAGGGCAGGCTTGCTGCCACTTTGCTGACGGCATATGTGTCTTCCATTTTCTGAATGTCGATTTCCTCATTGTTACGGTGGGGGTTTAATGACCTCTTGCAGAGGTGGAGTTGTGAGGATTGCAGGAGCCATCCCACAGAGCCTCATGCATCTCTTCCCTTCTCTAGTCGGCAGACTTTCCCTCCTTGCATTGCACTCCCACTCCATGTGGTCCACTGCTGTAATTTTTTGCCCATCTCTGGCAGGAAGAGCTAGAGCACCTGAACCAGGCCAGCGAGGAGATCAACCAGGTGGAGCTGCAGCTGGATGTGAGTGTTGCTCCTTTTCCTCACACCCTTGGGCTGGTCTCGGAGGTGTCTCCTTCTCTCCCTGTTCAATATGGTGGCAGGGGAGGGGGCATGTATGAAAAACAAGAGGGGCTGGGACCCACCCACATGCCTTCCCTCTGCCCTGTGTCCCTGTCCCTTTGCCAGGAGGCCAGGACTACCTATCGGAGGATCCTGCAGGAGTCTGCAAGGAAGCTCAACACGCAGGGTTCCCACTTGGGGAGCTGCATCGAGAAGGCCCGGCCTTACTATGAGGCTCGGCGTCTTGCTAAGGAGGTATGGCCAGCTGACATGCATTGCAGAATGGCCACATGCAGAGCCTGGCCCTGGACTCTTCTGTCTCTGTGTGGAGTGGAAGACAGAACAGTTTCTCATTTCCTTTTTCTTTTATGTCTCTTCCCTTTGGTTCATGTCTCTTTTCTTTGCTCATCCCTCCATTCCTTTACCCTTTTCCTCCCCTCTCTCTCTTTTTTTTAAAGCACAAATACTGTGGGTTCATTATTGGGAGACTGTAATGTAACTGTAGCTATAAAACAAAAAGAAAACCAAAATCACCCCAAATCCTACCATGTGCATGTTTCATGTTTTTTGTACCTAGGATCTCTTTTGGTCAAGTATGGTTAGGTGGCAGACGCAGAGACAGCTGCCTTGAAAGAAGAGTTTATTACTTAATATTTCCAAGAAGAAAGGGCATGCCACAGCACGTAGGGGACAGAAGGCACGTGAGGAAAGCTTGGCTCAGAGCCTTCATTGTGCTTATAATGGGAAGGAATGGGTAGGGCAGGGTAGGCAACATGGAGCAAATTTAGAATTAGATAGCTTGAATAAATGCGGGCTCTGGGCTATAGCGGTGGTCTCTATGTTTTGGTACCTGGTCCAGGGGTAACATAGGGCAGGGGAAATATTGGCATGGGGTGTGAGAGTTAGATAAAGGGGATGGTGGGATTTGGATTGGTTGGTGTGCATTTGAGAAGTGTGCTCATAGAGGAGTTTACTGTTTTTAGGACTTAGCTAGCCCTAGGAGGGCCGCAAGGCCCCCAAGATGTCAAAGCACCATAAAATATAGAAAATAAAATACATAGTTAATACAGCACAGATAACCCCTTAATCTTTTTTTGTATATATTTTGCCAAAATGAGATGACTTGGTATGTGTTATTTTTATTCCTTTATTTTATTTATATTATGACATGGTTCCATGTCAATAAATACACATCCGTGCTGTCATTTTTAAGACCTGCCTAATATTTCCTTACATTATTATTATTATTCATTTAATCAGTCCCCTCTAACTGAAAACTTGGGTTGGTTTCCATTGTTTTGTTTGGTAAGCATGGCTGTGATGAGTATCTCTGAGCACTTGTCTTCCTTCAGCTTACCTGCTGGACTGGAGTTGATGAAATCACGGGCGTGCTTTCTTTAAGACTTGGTCCCTGTTCCTAACCACCTTGCAACTAAAGTGGTGGGATTTTTCTTTGTTCTCCGTAGGATGAAAAAGGCCAGTGGCCTTTGTAAGTGCTGATTTCACACACTCACCCTCTAGTGGCAGCATCGTTTTCCAGTCTTTGTTTCTACATTTATTTCTTTTAAGTCCTATCCTTACAAAATATTCTTTATAGAATGTTATTTTTTTGGCACTTATGCTCAGTGCAGTTTGGGCAGTGAAGCTGACGTTGCATTGGGCCTTCCTCCTCCTCCTGTCCTCATCCTCTTAAGATGGGTCTCCACAGGCGGGCAGGGGTCCTTGGGGCTCCCCATCCTGATGGCCTGCTCTTCCCAGGCCCAGCAAGAGACCCAGAAGGCAGCGCTGCGGTACGAGCGGGCTGTGAGCATGCACAATGCTGCCCGGGAGATGGTGTTTGTGGCTGAGCAGGGTGTCATGGCCGACAAGAACCGGCTGGACCCCACGTGGCAGGAGATGCTCAACCACGCCACCTGCAAGGTGAGCCAGGCGGTGCCAGCAGGTCTCCTCAGGTTTGGCTACTTCCTTTGCTCTCCTTTCATCTCATCGCCCTCCTGCCTCCTATCTCTCTTCTCCACTCCAGACTTTCCTCAGCTTTCATTCTGTTTCAGGCGAAACCTCTTCCTTGCTCTGTGCCCTGTTTGGGCTTTGCCAGTGTACCTTGTGAAGTGTAATTTGTGTATCATTTCTCAGCTACTCAAAGGAGAGTGGGGAGTGGGAGGAGCACTGCTATCAGCTGCAGTCTGCCACCTTCACCTTGTATAGACGTTAGTCCATTGGGGTCGTTAAAACAAAATAATGTAGACTGGGTGGCTTAAGCAGCAGTTTATTTCTCACAGTTGTGCAGGCTAGGAAGTCCAAGCTCAGGTGCAGGCCGGTTTGGTATCTGGTGGCGAGGGCCTGCTTCCTGCTTCCTAGACAGCTGGCGGTCTTCTCACTGTGTCCTCATGAGGTAGATGGGGTGCATGGGAGCTCTCCAGGACCTCTTTTATGAGGGCACTAATCCCATTGAGACTGCTCCCCCCCCCCACATAACCTGATCACCTCTCAGAGGGCCCACATCCAATGCCATCACCTCAGGGGTTAGGATTTCAAATAGGAATTTTGGGGGGATACAAACATTTAGTCTCTAGCAGTAGATGCCAGCTCCTGAAGGATGGTCATGTCTCGGGGGGCAAAAGCCCGGGTCCTTAGTCAGTGATGTATGTCCTCTGCCCCATCTGGGCCAGGTGAATGAAGCAGAGGAGGAGCGGCTTCGTGGTGAGCGGGAGCATCAGCGGGTGACTCGGCTGTGCCAGCAGGCTGAAGCTCGGGTCCAAGCCCTGCAGAAGACGCTCCGGCGGGCCATTGGAAAGAGCCGCCCCTACTTTGAGCTCAAGGCCCAGTTCAGCCAGATTCTGGAGGTAGGGGAGTAGTGGGAGAGGGGGACGGTATGTGAACCAGGCAGGAAGGGGGCAGGGATGGAGAGTGAGGGCAGTTCAAGGGATACCTCTCTGGGCCATCTGCCAGACCAATGTGGTGGGACGGGTGCTTGGAATGACCCACAGGAGTGGGAGTTGGGCTTGGAGTAGGTACCAGCGGAGAATGGAGTCGAAAGGAGGTAAATGAGAAAAAGTGGGAATCAGAAAACCAGGGAGAATGGGGATAAGGAACTGGCCAGCCAGGGAAAGGGAACAGTGGAGAGAGGAGGAGTGGGTGGGAATGAAGACCTGGGGGGAAGGTCTTAGAGGTCAGGCTTAGGTGAGGAGCAGGGCAGGATGGTTGGGGAAGAGGAATCAAAGAGGAGGAGTGAAGGGGGGCTGGGCTGGGCAGGGTGGAGCACTGCAGGTTTGTGTTGGGTGGTCTGGGAAAGGAGGCACTGTGCAGAGTGCTAGTGGGGCTGAAGGGACTCAGCTCCAGGAACCATGGAGTTGCCCGTTGGATCACCTCACTCTGTTCCTCTTTCTGCAGGAGCACAAGGCCAAAGTGACAGAGCTGGAGCAACAGGTGGCCCAGGCCAAGACTCGCTATTCAGTTGCCCTGCGCAATCTGGAGCAGATCAGCGAGCAGATTCATGCCCGGCGCCGGGGCCAGCCCCCTCATGGCCCAGGCCAGCGGCGCTCCTCCCCCGTGGGGGCAGAGGCTGGGCCTGATGGTGGGGAGGATGGGGACAGTGGGATCATTGAGGGGGCTGAAGGTGGGGGCCTGGAGGAGGGCAGTAGCCTGGGGCCTGGGCCTGCCCCGGACACAGACACACTTAGCCTGCTGAGCCTGCGCACGGTGGCCTCGGACCTGCAGAAGTGTGACTCTGTGGAGCACCTGCGGGGCCTCTCAGACCACACCAGTCTGGATGGTCAGGAGCTGGGCTCCCGGAGCGGGGGCCGTGGGGGCCGCCACCAGCGCAGCATCAGCCTGTAGTCCATGCTCAGGGTGGCTTGTTCCTCTTTACCACCACTGGCCCATGTAGGGCCAGACAGGCTCCAAGCTACCTCTCCTCAGGTCCTTGCTTCCCTTGGAGAGGTCAGGCTGGCCCTTGTCTCTGGTGGATTTCTCCCCGTCCCTGCCCTCCCAGCTCCCTCCTTGCAGGTGGCAGCTCTCTTTGCCTTACCCCTTCAGAAGGCTTCTCTCTGGCTCTCACGTTTGCCCTCTCCCTACTAGCTCCTTATGGTCTGATGCCGTTTGCTGCCCCTTTTCTGCTTTCCTTCCATCTGTCTGGCTTTCCCCTCAGGGAACTTGGTCTGGAGGCACAGGGAAGCCCATCAGAGAAGGTGGGTGTGGGACCTGAGTCCTGGCATCTTGGGCCCCTAGCTTGAGGAAATAGGTGTCCCTTCCACCTCCCCAGCTCCCGAGGGGGTCTAGGGATGCTACAGAGCTCTTCTGGCAGCCCTGTGCCCTAGGCCTCTGTCCCAGCCTGCCCATCTGGAACTTGTAAAATGCACTGTAGGACTGTGTGCCTCTGGAAAACACTACCGATCCGTACAGTGCTCCCTCCTCATGACCTAAGCCACTTTGCTGTGTCCCGCAAAGCAGGACCGGAAGGGTACCAGTGTCAGAGAAGGTGAAACGCAACCCCACTGTCAACAAAGAGGACACCACCCACTCCAAATAGGCTCCCATGTGCATGGTGTTTCCCCCAGCTGGGCTGGGCCATTAACATCGCTAAGGTGCTAGTGGGTCTCTAACAGGGTCCGTGTTGGGAGTTGGACATGTAATGAGGTCCTGATGGTTGAGGCCCTCGCCATTCCTGCTGCAGAGTTGGGTTTACTTTTTCTGGGTAGAGGATGTTGAGCTGAATCTCAGCACCCTCCTGCAGGGTGGAGTTAGGGAATTTGGTGCTCAGTTGCTCTCCCTCTCTCTTTCCCAAACCAAACAATAGCTACTCCAGGATCCCTAGGGGGAAATGCTCAAGTTTGGCTGCAGAGCCTTCTCTGACGCTGGGAGGGGTTTCCCTGGGTGAGGGGATCCATCCTCCATGGGGAGCAGTTCTGGGTGTTTGGTGGTGCTCCAGGCTATATGGGGGGAAGGGTGGGGAAGCCACGCTAGATCTGGGTGCCTTGGGAGAACTGGTCCTCCTTTCCCACCCTAAGAGGTCTGAGAGCTGGACTCTGGGCAGGATAGCTTGTGCCTAGGCCATTGTGCTGCTGCCATCAACTGGGAGGAGTGGGCTTTCACATGGAGGGTGTCTCCCTGTGCTAAGGTGGTCACTATGAGAACCACTGGGTTTGAGGTGGCCATGGTGGAGGGAAGAAAGGGAGGGAGGGCGTGGGCCTGCGTGTGTGCATGTGCTGGGGGAGTGTGTGTGTGTGAGAGTGTGAGTGTGAGAGAGAGAAAAGGGTATGCCCCTGATTTTATTTAAATAAAATAGTTTATGTAACAGTAACGTTTGCTGTCCCTGTCAGGGGAGGGAGGAAGAGAAGGGCAGAGTGTGTGTGGGGGGGCTCTTTTGCTGGGGGAGTCAGGGCAGGGGAGATGTCCCCTCCTCCCACCTGCCAGGCAAGGAGGGGTCTGCAGGGTGGGGAGGACATTGTCAGCCACTGGTGGTCTAGAAAAGATGAGGGTGCCAATCCTGCGTGTGTCGACGTAGGCATGAGGGAAGGGGAGGGACGAAAGTAGGGTTGTAGGAGACTTAAACTTCAGATAGAATTTTTGCCTCCTGCGATGTTTGGGACATACTTACACTAAGTTTTTTTGTTGTCTATCTAAAACTTAATATAGATGAAAGGTGACACTCAAATCATGACTTGACTTGTTGGGTGCAAAGGATTTGAGTGTGTTTGGACCCACAGCCTGTGAAATATCTAGTGGAATCAGGTGGGGGAGGGATGAGAACTTCAGGAGCCGTGGATGTGTAGAATGAAAGCTTTGGATTGAGCACAGTCAGCCTCAGCCCCAGAGGGGCGCCTATATTTCGAGCCAGGTGAGGAGGGGGTCAGCCAAGGGCTGGAGAAGGCACTGCAGGGAGGAGGGCAGGAGACCCACTGGAAACTTGATGGGGAATGGGTGTCCTGAAGACCCTTGGGCAGAGTGAAGGCCAGAAGTTGGGATGGAAGGGCAGAGCAGTGCCCCTGGTGATCTCAGACAGCAGATGGGCCATCAGGAGCCACTGTGTTCTGAACATGCACTGCAGGTACTGTCCAGGTGTGACACTGCCTTTCCCAGCCTGGCCTTTTTTTTTTTTAACCAATTTATTTTTCTCACAGTTCCAGAGGGTCAGTCCAAGGTCAAGCTGTCGGTAGGATTCGTTCCTTCTGAGGGTTGTAAGGAAGCATCGGTTCCAGGTCTCTCGCCTTCACCTTACCTTCCCTGTGTACATGTCTGTTCACATTTCTCTCTCATAAGGGTACCAGTCATAGAGGATCAGGGTTCACCCAAGTGACCTCATTTTACCTTAATCACCTCTGCAAGGACCCTATCTCCGACTGCAGTCATGTTCCGACTACCTTACAACTTCAGCGTATGAATTCTGAGGGAGACAGTTCAGTTCGTAGCAGCACAAAAGTACAGTCATTCCTCTAAACATTGCAACATCCCTGGACTTAATCTACCATTTTGCTTATTGGAATGCCCTTCAGCTGACCTCTCTTCCCAATTGAGAAATAAAGTGTGGTAAGGCAGATGGGTGCCAAAATACTCCCTTTATTACTGGAAAAGTTGTTGATGAGAATGCATGGTCTATGTCCTTGGACAAGTAGGCTTTCTGAGATGACACCCCAGGATCATCCTTCCCTACCCAGTCCTGCAAGTCTCTTGGTGTGAAGGAGCCCCAGAAAAGAAGGGCTGGCTGTGCCCACCCAGTTCTCACCAAATCACCTACTAGATAAGAGTGGAAAGCTAGCAGGAGAGTTAAGAGCTAATGGTGCTGCTTCCATGTGGAAGAAAACAACCACGGCAAATATGCGCCCCCCCACCATCCTAACAATAGTGTCTTGTACTTACCCAGTATGTCTTGTGCCAGGCATTGTAAATTTACCCATTCCCACGACAGCCTTATGAGGTAGGTAGCACCATGACTGTCTTTTCACAGATGAGAATACAGGCATAGTGGGGATGCCTAGTTTGCCCCCAGCCTTGTAGAAGTTAATGGAGACATTTGGACTTGAGTCCACAGGGACCAGAGATGAGAAAGTGGTGTGAGCGTAGTCACCTCTTAGGAAGTTTTACTGGGGAGGGGGGCTCAAGGAATTTTGTTTTAAAATGAACAAGAGATGGTCAAATTGGGGAGGTGTCTCATTTTCCCCATTCCTGTATGATGTTGTAACACTGAGTGGTAAGTTCTGAACTATGTCCTCCCCAAGTGAGCAGTTGGGCCTCAGTCTCCCCAGCACTTAATACATGCCTGACACTTAAATATTCAGTAAACATGCTTTTGCATCTCCCTCCTCCCCCCAGTCCAAATCTATGCCACGTTACTTTGTTAGACCGTGGTTAGGAGGTCAGCATCTGTATCCACAGCCCTATGATCACATCTCCACGTCTCCAGGGGGCCGTTCTCAAATTTCTCTAAGCTCCAATTTATTACCTCTAAGATGAGAAAATCTAGGTGTGCCTAACACCATGCCAGGTCAAGGGGTGTTAGCCGCAGTGAGCCGTATTAGTGGCTTCCAGATGCAGTGAGCTGCAATTAGGAGGTCTCCTTCTGTCTAGTGCTAGAGAAGGAGGCTTTTTTATAAAGGTCCCAGTGAGGTTTGGGGTAGTCACCCTTTGCCTTCGTGTGCGGAGCGAAGACGGGCTTCTCGGGTTGTCACGGTCCTGCTCTGTCGGCAGAGGGCAGCAGGCACCAGAACGCCGATGGAGAGCAATCTGAGTAGGCTGGGTTCTGGTCCTGATTTTCCTGCAAGCCTGTGAGGTTTGCCTCCTTGACACTTGGCAGGTGGTCCTGGGAGCCTGGGGTGGAGGGGGGTTAGGAAATGGGGTGTATGCATGAGAATCCAACCCCGTCTGTCCCCCCATCTGTCCCCACCTGGGCTTCTTGCATCGCTGATGTGCTTGGGATGGTCTGTTGTGTGTGAAAACTGCTTCAGGTGTGTGGGGGCACCAGGTCATTTGAGGTCGGATGTTCTGCGCTTCTTTTTCTTTTCTTTCTTTCTTTTTTTTTTTTTTTTAAAGATTTTATTTATTTATTTGACAGAGAAGAGTTTGCGAGAGCAGGAACACAAGCAGGGGGAGTGGGAGAGGGAGAAGCAGGCTTCCCGCCGAGCAGGGAGCCCGAAGTGGGGCTCGATCCCAGGACCCTGGGATCATAACCTGAGCCAAAGGCAGATGCTTAATGGCTGAGCCACCCAGGCGCCCCATGTTTTGTGCTTCTTGATGCCCTGTTCTCCTCAGAACTCACCTCCTTCCTTGTCCTCCTTAGTGCCTTGTCCCTCTACCCTTCCTCAGCCTCCTTGCGTATTCCCCTCTTGGGAAGTCCCTTTAGCTTCCCTCTACCACCACTCCTGAGCCTTGGGCTTCCACTCTGTCCACCATCCCTGAGCCCTAGGCTGCAACCCTGCACCATACCCTGAATTAAGGGAACCAGGGGACCATTTTGCTGGCTGGCAGAAGGATGTGTAGTTTGTTAAATATTTAGCAGGATCTTTTAGAGTTGCAAACACTGTGGTAGGACTTGTTACGAATACCAGAAAGTATAATCGTGGGTTGGACATCGAGTTAAGGAACACAGGTGGATATAGGTTACAGGTGATACAGGGCAGTAAACAGGTAGATGTTTATTTTTTAAAAAAGATTTATTTATTTGAGAGAGAGCAAGGGGTAGGGTCAGAGGGAGAGAGAGAATCTAGGCAGAGTCCTCACTGAGCATGGAGCCTGACTTGGGGCTCTAATCTCACGACCCTGAGATCATGACCTGAGCTGAAGCCAAGAGTTGGACACTTAACTGACTGAGCCACCCAGGTGCCCCAGACAAAGAGATGTTTAAG